TCTTCAGCCGTTTGGGTTTCCTTTTCAAATAATTCGAATTGGACTCGCTGGCACTGACTGACTTTTCTCTTCAATGATGACGTGCGAATTATACAGCATAAAACACGAAACAGCGTTTTCAAACATTTCTAAATTCGTACGACGATTAGCAAAGACATTGATTAAGCAGAAGCAAGAAATCATCGAAAGCTAACTGACGCAATAATTACTGAGCACATTGTGCATGTTACAAGAATCCTCTACGCGATATCACAGCAATTAGCTTCAAGTGATATTCAAGCATCTTCTATTTCTATTTCTTTTCAGATGTTATTCAACAACAGCGTAACCCAATACGATTCGCTGGATAGCCGCATAAGCATCAATTCGTCAGTGCCAATTTCAGTTGCACAACACGATTACATGCCAAACGGTGTTGGCGATAGCTTCACAGGTACAGGACTAACAAAATCATATGTTACACAGTTGCTCTGATACAGGTTTTAATAAGAGCGTGGGATAAGTTCTTAGTAATTTTTCGATCCAAAAACGTTAAAAAGGACCCCAGGAGAATCACCAATTCTTCATGTCAGAATGCTCTGCTGGACTGTATGCATGAATGGCCCATCCGTGACGTTTTGGATCCAGATGCATCTCATTCGATCAGTGTGTTTGCAGTTATGCTAAAAAGTGATTCATTGCCTCCCACTGTATTCTTTATGAATTGGAACGTCAACAGCGGCGTGTTTCACGGATGCTGGCGCCGTCACGCTTTTTTGCTCAGGCTGAAACACATAAGTAGCAACAGTATGAATGGTCACTGCTTTACGTTTTAAAGTATACACACGTGGTGACAGTGTTTTTGGTTAGTTGCAGCATTTAGTAGGAGGGGAAAGGTGGAGCTGCATTTTGGGCCCGCGTGATATTTCAGTCTCTAATATGCATGATTACCAAGAATACAGGTTGTCGGCAAATTTACATCCTCGAATTTGCCGTGTACGAATGCGAGGGGCAAGCATATGTGGAAAATGATGTATGGTTTTAGAACCGGACAAACACATACAAGAATTCTCACTAAATTTGTGCTTTCCTGCCCATCTAATCACCAAGAAGGAGGATCGCGAAAGCGCTGCAATTTGAACATTTGACGCATCCCGTTCATAAAGCGCGGAATCTCACTTTCAAATTGCAAGTTCGCATTTGGATAGTTAACACTCGCATAAAACTAAAGCTCTCTGCTCAGTCTGGCTGAAGAATTAAATCAGTGCCAAAGCTGTCTAAGACTAAATTTCATTTGCGCAAGTTAACGATAACTTCGAAAGTAAACCAAAAAAAGGCTATTTCATTTTTCAGTGTTACCGGTCGCAGCAGCAGGTACTAGATATTCATTAGCGCTGCCGAATGCTGGAGCGGGTGGCGTTGGCACTGTGTACGTCATTGGTCTTAAAGAAAATGCGTTACTCAATGTGTATATGTACAAAGATAATGGTGAAATCGAAACTCATTATGATAGAGTCGTGAGTTTTCATGCGTTTTTGCACATTTTTGCAAATACAACCCAGGCTGCAACGCACTGGGCTTGCCGATTCGATCATGCGTTTTTGCATTGTACTTGAAGCAACCAGGTCATTAACAGCAGGTACAGTTCCTGCGTTGTGTTTAACATGTCGAATCACGTTGGTTGTGTTTTCGTCTTTCTTACTTGAAAGAGGAAAACAGTGTCGGCTGGGATGGTAGTGTTGCATCATTATATGAACCCCCAAAGTGCATGATTATGCATTTTTGCATAATACGCCAAAACACATATTGTGACGACCCCGGTGTGTGTGTGTGTGTGTGTGTGCGTGTGTGTGTGTGTGCGTGTGTGTGTGTGTGTGTACATCTGCCTGCGTGTTTCAACTCGGCATCCAAAGCGAGCTCCGGCGCTAAAATCTTGCGAGTGGTTTCCCCGGTCAAGTGCCACCCCAGGACCGCGGTACCAACCCTTTAGCACGTCTAGGCCCTGCGTACGAGCGCCACGAAGTTTCAACTGGAAAATCGCTAACTTGGGAACCAGAAAAGCTAGGAAGTTGAAACTTTGGAACTATGCTTCCAGTCCAAGTAGAACTCAAACATTTCAAATTTAGCCCCCGGGGGTTCGTGGTTCCCGCGTACGGTCGCGTGAAGCTTCCTGGCGTGAAAATCGCTAGCTCGGGAGCCAAAAAAGCTGGGGAACTGAAACTTAGAGAAAATGTTCCCATCTACAACTTAAATTTATTGAAATCAAACCCCCCATTATGCGTGGTTGCCAGGTACGGCCCCGTGAAAATTTTTGGCGCGAAAATGGCTAACTCCGAAACTAGGGAAGCTGGGAGGCTCAAACTTTCAGGAAATGTTCCCAACTTACCTACAACTTAAATTTATTAAATTCAGCACCCTGTTGTGCGTGGTTGCCACTTACGGCCCCGTGAAATTTTATGGCTGGAATTTGGGTAACTCGGGGACTGGGAAAGCTGGGAGCCTGGAATTTCAAGGGAATTTCCTCTGTTCAAGTATAGCCTAGATAATTAGCTTCCCGAAATCTTGCTGGCAAAATTTCGAATGATCTTATTACAACATGAAACATTGCAAAAACGCATGGTCGCACGGGGCCCGCCCAGTGCGCGTCGCCAATGATTTTTAGTTTTGTACGAAAACTGGTCGTTTTTTCGGTGAGCGGCAGTTCATTGAGACCAGGCTGGAACGCACCAGGCGAGCGGGTGCGACTATGCGGTTTTGCACCAAACTTGAAGTAATTAGGTTAACAGCATGACAGGCTGTTTCTTCACATCTACCTTGTGCGCTCAATAACGTTAATCATCGTTAATTTTGTATAAAAGGAAATTATTTCTGTTTAGCGGTAGTTTTTTGTGTGTTTTTGGTGTGCAGCGCTATAGCGCTGCTAAAGCCAGCAACGCTATACATGGATAGGGAATATTCCCTTGATATCCCAGGTTCCCAGCATTCTCAGTTCTCGAGTTACCCAAATTCCAGCCAGAAAATTTCACGAGGCCGTACGTGGCACCACGCATAAGGGCGGGGGGGGGGCTGAATTTGGCAAATTGAAGTTGTGGATGAGTTGAGAACGTTTCCTGAAAGTTTCAGCCTCCCAGCTCCGCTGGGTCCGGAGTTATTCATTTTCCCGCCAAAAACTTTCGCGGGGCCGTACGTGGCAGCCACGCATGAGGAAGGGGCTAACTTTGATGAATTGAAGTTGTAGGTGAGTTGGGAACATTCCCTGAAAGCTTCAGCCTTTCAGCCTTCTTGGTTCTCGAGCTAGCGATTTTCGCGTCAGGAACCCTCAAGGGGCCGTACGCGGGAACCAGGAACCCTGAATTTGAAATCTTTGAAATCTACTTGGACTGGAAACATAATCCCAAAATTTCAGATTTCTAGCTTTTTTGGTTCTCGAGTTAGCGATTTCCCTGCCAAAACTTTGAGGCGCTCGTACGCGGGGCCTAGATGTGCTTGAGGGTTGGTACCGCGGTCCTGGGGTGGCGCTTGACTGGGGAACCCACCTGTAAAATTCTGGCTCCGGAGCTTGCTTGGATGCCGAGTTGAAATACCCGGACAGACGCACACACACACACACACACACACACACACACACACACAC